TAGCAAAATTGTAGGCAGACGGTGTCCATTTTTCTTTTATATCAACAAGATGCCTATATTTGAGCAATTAGAAATAAAATGACTTACCCATAAAGTCTACGATTGCGTTGTTACCCAATAAAAGAGAAAACAGCAGAAGAACCCAAGGTAAATATGGAGCGGTGAACGACAGCACTCCAAAGAAGTTCATCTAAAATACTTCTTAGTCTGATATCCCGTTAGATCGTTGAGAAAGCTTGGAGACGCAAAACGGTAAAAAAGCAAAACAAGAAAAAAATTGCCTGAATATGAGGATTGCGGCGACTCCATATGTACACTAACATTATTGTGAATGCCTGACCAAGAAATACCATCTGCACAAAGATACCGCATATAATCTGAAAAATTCACATCAGTGTCTCTTCTGGATTTTCATGCCCACTCCAAAAAACAATCGCCGATTAGAATTGAGAATTAACAGAGGTGCATGTGAAAGCCATATAATAATGTACACAGGCCAAAAGGAGCCTCCTCCCCTCCCCAGAACTTCACGACCCTCACCACCACCATCAGTTTTACGGAGGGAGAGCCACCCATTCGACCTCTCCCACACCGTCCAAAATGGTTACTTCTAAAGAATTTAATGTATTTGCTGAGATCAGCCGACACACTCCCCTCGGTCCTCGTTTTCTCCAAGACTTCCATCGAACGGTAGGAAGGGCAATATGACTTGAGAAAGGGCAGATTCTGTACCTCTGCTTATTTCATGTGCTTTTTCGATGAAGTTCCCAAAATTTCCGAGAGGCCCATCAAAATGACCATCCTCTCCTTCACTGGAACACAATCCTCAATTCCGCTCCCTCAAATTACTCTAATTTCAAAAATCTCACACCCGGGTTCCTCCCCATAATCACACAACCTGAAAACCGGAAGTGCAACCCTTTCCGTGTAGCAAAATAACTCCTCCCTTCGTTGGTAAATTATTAACAGACGGCCGACGGTGCTTCGGGTCAGCACCGGACTCCTCTGGAAAGGATAACGATGCTGACGTGCACATCGGCTGGCCCCCGCAAGTCATTGTATAGGCCACATCGCATTCAAATGCCACTACGAATGTACAAATGGAAGTAGAATGCGTGCCGCATCCCAAAAAGGGATTGATCAACGGTGAAAACCTTTATCCATTAGTCCTTCAGTAACGTAGACATCGGCATAAAATCCGATGAACTAAAATATGCAGCTCTATAAAACAAAAAATTTCTTTCTGGAACAGGCGCCGGCACTGCTGTGCCTTGTTGTGAGGGTGTTCGAAGTCTCAAATGTCCTTATCCTTCTTTGCTTTGAAGGTGATTTTTTGTTTTGGGGTTTCTGGTCCACTCATCAGCTTTACCGACACGATGGGTGGCCCTTGGTTCTCCAGCGGTTTCTTTCTGTCTTTATGGTTTTTATCCATAGTCTCTGCTCTTCGGTGCTTCATGAGAGTCGGGCTGTTCCTACTTTGTTCAGCTAATTCTTCCCTTTGCCCTGCTCAATATTATTTACTGGTCATCCCACGAGTGCTTATGTTCAGGGTGTACTGTTTGTTTTGTTGTTGTTCTAGTTATCCTGACACGGTTCGGTTTGTTTTTCTGGTTGTTGCCGATGGTGCGCCTCGAGTGCATATTAAATAAATAAATAAATAAATAAATTAAAAAATAATTAATAAATTCA